GTGAAGAGCTGTGCCCAGGAGCCGCAGGGAGGCACCAGATGGCTGAAAGAGACCTTCAGCACAACTCCCACAACACAGCACGGTGCTTTGTGCACTTGGTGAATAATTACACTGCCTTGAACCCACTTTGTTGGGATCTGGTAAAACTTTCTGAAAGTGCTGATCCATTGGGGTATATGTTTAATTTGAAAGTGAAAGTTTTTGAAAAATAAACTTTCACTGAGTAATTACAAAGAGCAATTCTTTTAAAGCTGTGTAAAACACAGGTTCTTTTTGTATGAATCCCAGATCACAGAACTTATGTTAAAAGAGAAGCTCACTTAATTTCCACTGGGATTAAGAGGATGTGATACAGCAGTGTGCAAGGCTAGCAGCTATACTGGGAGAAGCATACAGCATCGGGAAGGTATAATTGGGTAAATTTACAGCCATGGAAAAGAGATGCATATGACCCATGCATGTTGTTCCATCTGTGTCCACTGTCTCAGGATCTGTGCACTGCAGCTGCACAGCTTTTTGCACTGTTCCTTCGCCTTTGGCCTGATGTATCCTTCCCCGCATCACCATCACAGCTCCAGGCCTCAAAAGGTCAGAGAACACATCTTTTTCTGCCTATCTCCTCTCCCATTTGATTAGGTACATAACATATGACATCCAAGTGAGCCTCAGAGGGGCCACTGAAAAATATCAAATGCAATCATCACTTGCAAAGGGCTAGAATACAAGAAGAGATAAGTAGCAAAAAATACATTAAAATCTCGCCAAATTGATCCTACTGAAGCAAATAGTTCTCCCATCTAATGTTCAGATTTGGCTCCCAGGTTCCCACATATCATACACTACTAAACTCATTTCATGAAGCATTGCTCTTGTGTTTTGCTTGCTGTCACATTCAAAGACCACAAGTGCCCCAGAACCACAAGAGCCAGTAACCTTCCCACTGTACTGAAGTCAACCACAGTGTCCAAGTGCAGAATGACACTGAAAGGTGCTTCATCCCCTGCAAAACATCAGAATGCTCTAGGACAATGGATATGGGAAATCTGGAAGACTTCCTTCAGGTTCTGCAAGCCAAGATCCTTCTCCACCAGTAGTAAACGTCATTTTTATACCTCTGAATACAACTATGGCACATAAAAACCTCTGGAAAAACAAGGCACTGCATCTTTGCAAAAACACACAAAAGGAATTTATATCTTGAATTCACAAGCAATTAACTTCGTACAAAGGTAATTTCAAGGCTTAGATACATCTGATCCAAAAGCTCAGCTACCTGGTTTACCAAGTCTTATTTTCTGTTTCTGAGTACTGAAAATGTTTGCTTAGAAATTCCATTGGAAAACTTAGGAGTATTTCTGCAGTTGTTAATAACATTCTAACTCTTGTTTTTTTTCACACTGTCAGTCACAGAAAGTTGTGAAAACAAATCAGAACTTGAAAAGACACTTTTTTCTTTCCCTGCCTATGTACCAAGGTATTAATGTGAGGAGGGGAAAACACGATGTTTCCACACAGAGTGAAAATAAGCTTGTGTAAGAACCCACCTGAATTTCTTTCCTGTATGGAGTATTAAAGAAACTTCACTTTCCACACAACTTTTAATTATCCAAGTCAACTTCCTCATCAAATTGGTCTCATATTTCTCCCTCTAGGTATCATAAGATGCTCACTGGTACTTTCAGAGTGGCCTTAAGATCCCTGCCTACTATGGCAGCGAGCTCAACAAAGACATGGAAAGATATAGAAGGAAGCCAAACTTTATTCTGGACTCTTCTGCTTTTGGGTAATCTTTTCACACTTCTTCCAGCGCTGCTACTCAGTTGCTGTCAAAGCCAAATTATGTAACTCCTACTCAATATTTAAAAAGCCCAACTGTATTTCTGCAATTGAGTTCTTGTTTCCTCCTTTGCTACAGGCCAAAGGAATGTGTTACAGCATGTTGAGCCACTGAAGATTAATGAATAAAAACTGTATGGAAATCCTACCTGAACTGGAATTAGAAAGACTCTATGTGTTCAGAATCAGACAGTATCTTTCACAGCCCTCCAAGAACTGTCACATGAAAGCAGTATATAACCCTAATATAAATAAATAAATGAACCCAGCAAAAGTCCTCAAAGTCCATGAGACAGATGTAACAGGAGTAATAGCCTAGAACAGATATTGACAAATGATATGCAGAAAATGAGTATATTTCTTGGCATGATAACTAACTGTTCTACTAAGTACAGTGTGAGTGATAAATATCATCATCAAGTGCACACTAATTACAGGGCTGAAGTAAAAAAAGGCAGGGCAGGTGGGCAAAAGAAATAGAGGGGGATGGAAAGACATATGCACTTAGAAACCCAAGAGACTAAAATAGAAATGGCAGCAATTATATGACATAGACACTGACCTGGCAAGAAATTACTGCTCCAGTTTAGCAAGAATCAGAATTCAAATAAATCCCACACTTAGAGCTGTGTTCAGATCACAGAGAAAAGTGAAGTTTGTTGATAATTCAGAAGTTGCATCAACCAAGAAGAAAGACCAGAAAAACCCTAAGAACTGAATGATCTACAGAACTGCACCAACAAAAATGGAGTGCTGTAAGAGGCCAAAGTACACAGTCAGATACTCAAGGATGACAGAATTTCTCCTAAAAACTTGAGTTTTCTGAGGGAAGAACAACAGAATAACAGGTTTGGTATACTGAGTGATAAGAAACAAGTATATGTTGGACACAAAGAAGATAATTGTAGATTTAGTATTTAATGAGGTATTAGCAGCATTGAGCACAAGACTTTCTGAACACTGCAAACATAAATGACCAGATTCTACAGGAAAGATTATTTCAAAGACAAGCCAGTGCAGAGAAGAGTTGTGCTCCTATTACTAGATTTCAAAAATTCATTTTTTTGATATGGCAAAGGAAACATAGCCTGCTGAGGCTAGAAAAACAGGCCTCTAGGGGATGTACCTTTGAAAAGAAATTTTGTCTGAAAACCAACACTTGTTTCTAGCTGCAAGAGGAAGAAAATTCACAAGCAGCCTTCTAATAGATATAAAAAGGCCAAAAAAAAAAAGAAAAGAATCCTGATTCCATTTCTGAATGCAGACAGCAAATTCATTGATTCGGGTGTATCTTTCCTTAGGTGCAGGAACATATAGAGAAGAAAGAATAATTTTCAATCAGTCTTCTGGGTCTTCTTACAGGTAGAAAAGCTTTCATCCGTGTAAACTCTGTTAGCTGTGTCCTACACTGTAAGCAAACTATGGAGTCAGGACTATTAGGATATTGTTCTAAAAGACTGTACTGGTACAGCGCTGAGGTGCCTACAGCCAGGCACTGCCTTGGTGCACTAGCAGGATTTGCAGTGTCTGGGAAGCTCATAGCACTACCTGGATTCAGAGCTGAATGCCAACGTACACTGCACATGAGCTAACATGGCCAAGCTTTACCTCAACACTCCTGAACCTGTCTCAACAGAAGCGTTTGTATAACTATGACACACAGAATAAAGATGACTCTTGGAGGCCAATGGCTCCATCACCACTTCAGGTACTTATTGCCAGAGAGTTTTCTGGTTGGTTGGTGGATTGGTCCCTTTGCTAGAACATGGTAAATGCTAGAACAGTACCGGGATTCCAGCACTTGCAGGAACACAGGGACATGTCAACACTGCCATCAGATACATGGCAGGGGAGTCTGACATGTCGCTTTGAGGCCTTGCTTCAAAAGCACAAAAAGCTTCAAGATGTCAAAGTCCCACGTCAAGCAACATTGCTCAGGAGCAATTTTGTTCCTCTCATCCAAAGAGTCATGTCAAACCTAGCACTGCATCAGTACATTATGTCAGATACATCACACTTCACCTAGTAACAGGAAGCCTACACAAAAATAGGTATATCTCAATTCCAGGATTCATTCTTCACAATAGTTAGAAAAAAGAAAATGCATCAAGTATTTTAAAAGAAAAATCTGCATCTCAACCTGTAATAAAAAATTGGATGAATAAAAATTCGAAAGAAAAGGTTTAAATAAAGTATATGTGATTGTAAATGATGAAAATATGGAATGAGAAATCCTCCTCCAAGTCGAGGCAGGATTTCTCTTCCAAAGCAACAGATTGCAGCCAAGCACCCAGATAACAATCGCAAGCAGGCACATCAGCCCAGAAAGAATGGGCAGGACACGGGCCATCAAACGAACAAAAGAACGGGCCCGGACGAGATATCGCCGAACCGAGCATCTCCGCCCTGACCACCTGTGCTAGAGAAATGGAGAAACTAGACAAAGGAAGAGGAGCCAGCCGAGATAGCCATCGGCTCCAGGATGGGTGCCACCACTCCACCCTAAAGGCCCGGACCAAAATGATATCAAAAAGACATCCTGGACCTCTTTACATATGAGGAGCCTCTGCCCAACGTCTATTGACTCTATTCTCCAGTGCCAGGAAATCTATTCTTCGAACAATCAAGAACCTCTTAGCAAAGGGTGCCTGCTTGGAATTTGGCCTCGGGACACAAACTTCCTATAAAAACCCAGGCCAAAGGACTCTCAGGCGTGGATTTGGGAGCATCTATACCTTGCGTATAGACCCTGTCCACCCAGCGCTGCGCTGCTTATTTTATTGTGGTTTTTTCTCTTTGTTCGAATTTATTATTGTTTGATAATAAATTTTCTCTTTTATATAATCCGAAATTGCCTTTGCATTTATAACAGATTG